TCTAACCCCGGAGCTAATGTAGGTGGGAATGGTGGAAGAGGTGGTGATGTGATTTTGGAATGTTCCCCAAGAGTTTGGGACTTCAGCGGTTTGCAACCTCACCTTGTATGTACCTCTTATCTTTCCCATCTTTCTGAACTATGTTTAGCTTTATGGTCCACCATTGTTATTGAGTATTAGTTATGTCGTTCCAGATTGCACAGAGAGGGGGACATGGATCCTCAAAGAATAAAATTGGCACCAGAGGAGCAGATAAGGTATCTGTGTTTAGCAGTCCTACTTACCTGCATGATTGTGTCATATAGTTTGTCGTATGCCACCTATCCAAATCAGAATGCAGAATTGATAGTAAATTTTTTTCTCTTTTATTTTTTTGGGTAGGTTGCCCAAGTGCCCATTGGCACTGTGATTCATATTATGAAGGGTGAAATTCCTTCTGTAGTTGTAAGCCATTTTTCTGAAGATTTGGATCCATGGGAGATTCCAGGTATGCCTATTGGTGATGCAACTGGATCTGACCAGCACTGTGCCCTTTCTAGCCTAAATACAGAGGAGGATACTGGCAGCTCATCATCTCAACCTCAAAGAACCGTAGAGGAATCAGCTGGCAAAACTACCCAAGTTGGATTAACTGATATTCATTCTCAATCTTCATCTTCTTCATCTGAGAGTTGCACTGAAGATGAGACAGAGAAAAAAGAACAACTTCAGTTGAATGTTGCTGAATTGACTGTACAAGGTCAACGAATAACTATTGCTCGTGGAGGGGAAGGTGGTTTGGGTAATGTGTCCTCTGTGAAAGTATTTGATGATGAGGAGTCGTCCATTCGTGTTGGTTTGCCTGGTTCTGAAGCTGTTCTTATATTAGAGCTAAAGAGCATTGCTGATGTGAGCCTAGTGGGAATGCCAAATGCCGGTAAAAGCACTCTACTGGGGGCTATATCGAGGGCTAAGCCTGCAGTGGGCCATTATGCCTTCACAACTCTTAGACCCAATTTGGGGAATCTGAACTTCGAGGACTTTTCACTCACAGTTGCTGATGTTCCAGGACT